CAGGCGAAGGATACTTGGTGGAGCTATACAGTTTGGAGGGAGCTAGATTGGAAGAGGGAGGGGACATACCCCTCTCCATATAGCCGCTGATTCAGCAGTTCCAAGAGGTGTTTCAGCCACCGCAGGGATTGCCACCTCAGAGGGAGCATGAGCACGCCATCATTTTGAGGGAGGGGGTGTCACCCATCAGTGTACGGACTTATCGCTACCCTCAGTTTTAGAAAGATGAAATTGAAAAGTTGATTAGAGAAATGCTGGAGGCAAGCATCATCAGACCAAGCATCAGTCCTTTCTCTAGCCCAGTTCTATTGGTGAAGAAAAAAGACCATAGCTGGCAATTTTGTGTGGACTACATGGCGCTCAATAAGGAAACTATACCTGATAAGTTTCCTATCCTAGTTATTGATGAACTGTTAGATGAATTGAGTGGAACATTGATCTTCAACAAGATAGATTTGAAATCCGGACACCATCAGATTTGGATGAAGGAGGATGTGCCCAAGACTATCTTTCGAACTCATGAGGGACACTATGAGTTCTTGGTGATGCCTTTTGGCCTCACCAATGCTCCAGCCACTTTTCAAGCATTTATGAATAAGGTTTTCAAATCTTATCTCCGACGATTTGTACTGGTATTCTTCGACGACATTCTAGTCTAGAACAGGACAGAAGAGGAGCACTGAGAGCATTTAAAAAGGTGTTAGAGGTGCTGCAGGAGCACAAGTTAAGGGCCAACTTGAAGAAATGCTGCTTTGCACAGGCCAGTGAGAGTACTTGAGCCATGTTGTATACTTGTATCAAAAGAAGGGGTGGCAGCAGATCAGTCTAAAATCGAGGCAATGCTAAAGTGGCCAGTACCTAAAAATCTAAAGGAGCTTAAAGGATTTCTGGGACTGAAAGGATACTACAGAATGTTTGTAAAGGGATACAACACCACAGCATGGCCACTCACGGAGCAGTTGAAGGAGGACGGTTTCCTATGGGGGGAGGCGGCCACATTAGCATTTGAGAGCTTGAGGAAGGCTATGACTATTGTCTCGGTCCTAGCTTTGCCAGATTTCACTCAGATTTTCATAGTGGAGACAAACGCGTCTGGATACGGGCTGGGTGCAGTGCTTATGCAGAGTCATGGGCCCATTGCCTATTTCAACAAGATGTTGATTGCTAGAGCCAGGTTGAAGTTAGTCTATGAGAGAGAGTTAATGACCATCATTTTGGCCATCCAGAAGTGGCGGCCCTACCTACTTGGGAGGCATTCATTGTCAGGACAGATCAGCGGAACTTAAAGTACCTGTTGAAATAGCAGATGGTGATAGAGGAGCATCAGAGGTGGCTGTCCAAGTTGTTGGGATACGATTTTGAGATGCAGTATAAGCTAGGAGTGGAGAACAAGGTGACAAATGCCTTGTCCAAATGAATGGTTGAACTGCAGACAGTGACACTATATGTTCCTTTGATGCTTGATTGAGAGGACATCAGAGAAGAAAGTGCGAGGGATGCGGATTTGGTGAAGATCAGGGCAGATTTATTGAAGGAAGAGGGTAGCCACCCATGATACTTATTGGAGGGGGGCAGAATGCTATATCAGGGGAGGTTTGTGATGCCCCGGACCTCGATCCACATCCCAAACTTACTTTAGGAGTTTCATGGAAGTGCTGTTGGGGGCCATTCAGGCGTGTAGAAGACATACTAGAGGCTAGCATCGAAGCTGTACTGGAAGGGGATGCATAAAGATGTTGTACGGAAGTAGTCAATAGGAGCTTGGAGACTTACCTGAGATGCTTCGTGGCGGAGACACCCAAGTTATGGGCTAAGTTGCTATCATGGGCTAAATACTGGTATAACACCTTTTTTCATTCTGCTTCTCAATTGACCCCATTCAAGGTGTTGTACGGAAAGGATCCTCTCCACTTGGTGCACTTTGGGAGTAGCAGTACTCCAGTTTCTTCAGTCGAGGAGTACTTAGAGGAGAGGGATAGAGTGCTAGAAGAGTTGAAGAGACATCTCTGAGGGCTCAATAGATAATGAAGAAACAAGCTGATGGGCATAGGAAGGACATCCAGTTTGAAGTGGGGGAGAGGGTGTTCTTGAAGCTCCGACCTTATAGATAGAAGACCGTCGCCAACAGGAGAAATGAGAAGCTTGCTCCAAGGTGCTTTGTGCCTTATGAAGTGCTGGAGAAGATCAGAGCAGTAGCATATCGGCTGAAACTACCACCAACGGCAATTATACATCTGGTTTTTCATGTATAACAGTTGAGAAAGGCCATTGGTGACTATACAACCAACCCCGAGTTACCGGTGACACTTACTTAGGATTTAAAGGTGGTTCTGGAACCCTTAGAATTGATGGGGGTTCGCTAGAAAGAAGATGGAACTAAATAAGTGTTGATCAAGTGGAAGAACTTTCCTGCTACGAGGCCATGTGGGAGCCATACGAGAGGGTGAAATATCAGTTTTCTGATTTTCACCTTGAGGACAAGGTGATTATTTGGGAGGGCGGTATTGATAGGTCGATTCACACTGAACAGCTCGTGTATAGGAGGTGGAAACAGTCCGCCTCCTTTGGTTCGTTCCGCCCAAAGGGATGGGTTCCACTGGTCCAAACGATTTCAAATTGAAAAGGAGTGGGTGACTAGGGTTTGGGAGGGAAATTAGATTAGAACTTTTGTATTAAAGAGGAGGGGAGGATTAGGGAAGATTATGTTTGGATTGATTGTAATTAGGATTTCTTGGTGACTTGGGCTCTAGACTCTTTTGTCTAGAGATTTGGGAGAGACGATCCTGCTCTCGAATTGAGGATCTCTTGTATCTTTGCTTTGTTTTTGTTTGCTTTGCTTTCTATAAGATTTGCTATCGTATGATTGTTCTTCCACCATAATTTCGCTTTGTTTTCTCGCTGTTTTTATCGATTATTGTTAGGTTTGCTTGTGAACTCAAGTAGATCCGATAGGATTACTTGCGAACTCAAGTATTTTCTATCAATTTCATTATTAGCTTAATTAATAGTTCTGAATGCCGTGAGTAATTTATTATGATATGTTTCAAAAAAAAATTGTGATTAACATTAAACTTATGAGTATTCTAAATTTTTTAAATAAACTTAATGATGCTCTTCTTTCATTACATATAGTTACTATTTTGACCTATAATTATGATCTATTTCAATTATATCTAAAATATTATTAGAATATTTTTCACACGCAATGCTGCTTGCCTTTAAACTCCAACCTCACGCAAACATGCAGTGGGATAAAGGCTTGATGTCGTTATTGTTGAATGCTTCGTTTTAGAACTCAAATTTAATCCTTTGTAAAATCTTTAGTTTGGTGATTTGATAATTTCATCAATTTCGATTTCTTATTTATTATGAAATATTATAAAAATTATATTTAAGGAATAAGATAAGGATTAAAATGGTTCCTTAATGCTTTAAGAAGGATCAAAATGGTCATTGACTTTTTAAAAGTTCTTTTTTGTCTCTTGACTTTTTTAAATAGGGATATAATAATCCCATCAAAAGTTCAATTTGGTCCCTATTTAAAGAGTTCAAGCGACCAAATTGATATTTGTACATAGTAAGGGACTATTTTGGTCTTTAAAAAAAAAAAATAGGCGACCAATTTCATCCTTTTCTTTTAAGGAATAAATAAAGAGGATTATCTAATTAGGGTTCAATTTTTGACAGATGAAATTTGATCGAGCCGTATTGATAGTATTCTAATTGAACATTGATGACCTTTCAAGAGTTTTAGTGAAGTTTTGTTTAAAACCCTATGTTTTTTGGGTGAAACTCTTGACTTTAGTTAAAGATTTTATCGGACCTCCTGAAATTAGTCAAAATTTGGAATATTAATGTTTTTAGGATCTGTTTTAAGCGGAAATTGATCCCAAATGCTGTACACTTAAAACCACATCAAATAAATATATTCGATTTAATGATGCAGTACTTTAGAACTAATGAGATTACTTCTATAATATTTCCTTAGTTTTCTTAAACATGAAATTAAAAAAAATAATAAAATAAAGCACGCCAAAATTTGTTTCCTGAGCATGCTTTCTGTTTTCTCGGAAAAATACAGCAAACAAGTAACAGTTTATACAAACGGTTCCAAACATGGTCTTGTTTATTTCTTCCTTTCAGTTTCTGTCTCATTGATACGGTCTGGGATGCCTTCTTTTCAGCTATCTTTGAGGATTTCCGAGCCTTCAGGCATATGAGTATTTTGAAGCTCGGCGATGGTTGCTTTTCTTGATTATTCCCCATCTTGTGTAAATTCTTGGTACAAAGAGCAATATTCCATTAAGAACATTAAGAAAATGGAGAAGAGGACTTAACTCGGCTAGCAATATGATAGGAAGCACTTGTAGATCGCAAGTATTTCCTATCAATCTTCTAAAAACAGCGAGAATTCTTCACAAAAATCTGCACAAAATCACAAAAAAACAGTAGATAATATGAATTTTTTTTATGAAAGGGAAACTGAGAATAGCAAGATACAATTAATACTCTATTCGAGAGGAGGACCGATCTCTCCCAAATCTCTAGATGCCGCTAGAGCCCAAAGAAAACCTAAATCTAAGAGATCTCAAATTTCAGCCAAATTCAAGATGTCCTAATCCTAGGAAAACAAAGTATTTAATGCTTACAAATCAAAAGGAAATCCCTAAACAGTCACTACATTCAAATTTTCCTCCCAAATCCCTCAAAAATCCTTCCTGAAAAAGCTCTGTCAGCTCATGCGGCTTGTACGGCTGTAGCAGGAGGCGGAGAGTGGCGTCTCCTTCGCGCCTGAGCCGGTCCCGCGTGTTCCGGCTGTACCGGTCAAACATAATACTGTGATCTTCTTCTACTTTAGTGAGATGTAGGATTCTGCATGACTATTCTTTGTTTTCATCTCTTCTGCCAATGATTGCATCAGATTCCAAAATAAGATGATGGTCTCACCTTAGCCATTAACCATTTGAACTCGAAAATTCCTTCTTCATGTGTGAATTCTCTATTCGCATTTTTGTAATTCCTGTTTTTACTTTCTTGTTGAAGCCAATTTGATAAACAAATCTGGTGAATTATTATCATTCTCTGTTCTGTAGTTGCTCAGCTCACAACCAAAATCAAGCATTTATCATCAGTTTTACATAAAAAGGTAAATTACTATAAACTTTTTTTTCTCTTTTTATGAAGCTAAAATTCAAATTTCTGTATTGTGCATGAATTATAATTTCTAAAACCACACAGGACAAGCATTCCCGGAAAGGACTCCATGAAATGGTTCAACTAAGAAAGAAACTGCTGAAGTATCTCCGAAGAACAGACTGGGATTCCTACTGTCTTGTTCTCTCCAAGCTCGGCCTCAGGGACATTCCTGATTACAAGATTCCTGATTACAAGAGCTAATAGATGAAGGGCCTCTTTTTAAGGTACCTGTTTCTCCCTCTTATATGCTTTGCTAGCGATTGGTCTTTCAGCTATCTGATGCTCATCTAATCATTATTTCAAATAAAATTTTCTTTACTTGAAATCATCGCACGAGCTCTACTTCTTTGAAGCTTTTTGTATCAGCTTATTTCTTTTGGAATATTGGTAGTGTGCATTGTTGTTTTCTATATCTCAAGTAGCTCATCACTATAGTCTTAAGTGGGCTGTTTATTTTAATGTAAGATAAAGTGTTTATTCTACGCTATATTTTTAAAATGCATGTGTTTCAATTTTATTTAATAAAAAAAATCCATAATTCTCTTGAACTTTGCCACTATAACCCTCAATAAATCAGTCAGGCTAAAAATTTTTATGTGATTCTTGGTTGAATCTTTTGTAATATTGACAAAACAATTTTTTAAGTGTTTAGTGAGCTGTTTTTTTTTTATAGAATTTATACTAAAATTATTCTGTATTTTTTATTTACATATATTCTATATATTCTGAGTTTTTGTTTTACATATTTTTGGTATGCCATGTTTTTTAAAATTGAATATTTTATGCATACTCATATGGTTAATTATTACAGTTTGCATACTAAAACTTTCTACAAAGTTCATTTGTCTTGCTTGCTTAACTAATAATCGTTTGATTATGGGTTGAATCTCATATTTTTATACAATGAATAGATTATTTTGTTAGCAATGTGATGGTTTTCTTGTTCTTTAGGATTTGATAGTCCTTATATTAAGATGATATTATAATTTCTCATTTTTTTACCCTCCAATTTGATATCAGAGCAAAAAGTCCTAGTTGCATGGTTTCCTTGTGAGGTTAATTTAGCGTTTCTTCTATTTTTTTAAACTTCTTCGTTGAGATTGTCCTTGCATCCATATTCCCTTTATATCTTTGTTCCTCCCAAATTTTATTCCCTGGCTTATTATTACATTTCTTTATTTTAAAAAAATTTCCTTCTTTTATTTACAAGGAATCAAGAGCTTGTTGCCTGCTTGTCTTCGTCCTTGATGGGATCTAAGGCTTTGTTTGTGGAGAAATTAAATCGTGCGGGCATCGAACGGCGTCTGGATGCCAATCAGAGTGTGCCACGTCATGTGTATTGATACATAGCTGTGTACTGGACCAATACACATACTATGTATCAATACACAGCTGTGTATTGGGTGATATGATGCGTTTAATTGGACTCTGGAGTTCGGCGTCTGCTCGTCATAGTTTCTCGTTGTGACAGTTTTTATTACTGTTTTTTCATTGCTTTTTAAAAAAATTTGGACTAGAAAGCTACCCTAAAAAGCAGTATGAAAATTATCTCAAATAAAATCTAAGCCTCTTTAAAACATTTCGCTAGACATTTGAATTTAATTATATCAGGAATTATTTTGTTTGATGTATATTTTCCTTTTTTTTTTAATATTGTTGCATTTTTATATTTGCTCGGCCATTAAAAGCGAAGCATAATACTAAGTTAAATGTTGCAGAGATGAGGATGCATAGGTGGATGAGTGGATATAGGATACAAAATGAGCATATACATTAAAACGCTGGAGTAGCTCCACTGGAAAATAAGATTAGAGAGAGTCACCTTAGATGGTTTGGTCACATTAAACGGAGGCCTTCCGATGACCCGGTTAGTAAAGTTGAGGTATTAGATTTGACTTATGTTAAGAAAGATAGAGGTACTTGGTTAGAAAATATTAGAAATGATATTTCTTTATTAGATTTAAATGAGAATTTGACTTTTAACCGGACACAATGGCGAAAAAATATTCATGTAGCCGACCCCACGTAGTGGGACAAAGGCTTGTTGTTGTTGTTGTTGTAGTATTGTTGTTGAATATTATATTTTCTTGCTATATTTATATTTTAAATTTCTTTTTAACATTATCAACACTTGTATTCTATCAGGTGGAATAGTTTAAGAGGGAGAGAATAGCATGACAATTTATATTATTTTATTATATTTTAACGAGCTGTATTTTATATTTGAAGAAAATACATTTGCATGAAAGGGAGGAGTATTGTTAAATATTTGAAATGATATTGAAGTAGCTTCTCTGTGCAGTCTTTTAAATTTGTCTTTTTAACCTGTGAAGACGATGAAACATCTTTTTCGATTCATAAATTATAGACTATGTAAAGCTAAGAAACTTATGATGAAGGAGACGTATGTGTATTTAAGGTTTTATTTGTGACAACTTTCTTACCGTTTTATGAGCTAGTTTTTTAGTATAAAAATTGCTTTATAAAGCAGTAAGAAAGCTGTCCAAAAAAAGCCTAAAAAATTTATTGTAAGTTTGGGTACTTTATATTGCATATAAATGAGAATCCTATATATATAGGGTAATTTCTTATATTGGTTCATGAATTGACTTTATGTTCTTAAGGTTGATAATGGTATTGGGCTATTTCTTGTGCCATTGCTCATGAAGGGATTTTATATTACTAGGACTGGTGATAAGTATGATAATAGTGGTATGTATAGTAATTATAGTATGTGTGATAATGTGTGATAATGATGATGGTGATTAGTGTGATACTAATTATAAGTAATAGTAATGTTGGTAGGTAAATATGTGTTAATAGATTTGTATATTTTGGTCTCTCCCTCTTATTTCTATAAATAGGAAGTCTCTTGTAATGCTAAGTACTTGATTATGGAATGAAGAATTATTTTTCGAGTTTTTCACTCGTATTTTCTTCCACCCAAATAAAAGATCTCTTTCATTACGGGAGGTTCTTATTGGCTTTTGGCAAAGCTCTTATACACTGGGATTCAGCAGCCTTAGAACTTCAATCCATCATTGCTATGAAGCTTGTGATTAAAGATTGGATGTTGGATTATAAAGGTATAATCATTGAAGGGGACAACATGAATGTAATCAAATTCATCAAGGGAGTGGTGGAGAAAGGTGGTAATGATTCGATTGACCTCTCTTTCATTAAAGATTTTCAATTTGTTGTTTTTAATTGTGTTGATAGGGGCAGCAATAAGTTAGCTGATCATTGTGCTAACTATGCCTGCTTTAGTTCTTTTATTTGGAATGATGTTACTTTGAGCAAAATCCCTCCTTCCTTCATTAGCTTGTTAGAGGAGTCGGATGCTAGTAGAGTGTAAAGCATATTTTTATTTACATTAATAAAGCTCTTCAGCTTTCTTGATTCAAAAAAAAAAAAAAAAAGTATATCTTGAGTGTGATTGTCACAAACCGTAGGGACGAACATTCAAGGAAAATCATACCACGATGAAGGGCAATTTTGTTTGAAAATAACTTTCAAACATTTTTTAAAGAAAAAATTGATATATTTATATGATTATGTACATTATATACATTATAAATCATATAAAGTCAAAAGTTTCTTTTATTTTTTGCCTTTGTAAATAAAACTTTTCATATCTTTGGTTGTTAATATGGCCCATATGAATAAAAATAACCATTATAAATATGAATTTATTTGGTGGGGTCTATAGCTTTATTCATAAAAAGGAAGTCCCTTTACTTACCCCTAAGAAAAGAAGAACTTGTGTTTTCAATAGTTTTATATGCTATAGTGATTCCACTATGAATTGTTTTACTAGCATATTTGTTCATAATGGTAAAATGGATAACATCATATTCTGTTCCCACAGTGGGGCTACTTTATGTGATCACTTTGACTTATTTGGTTGTTTGGAAAGAGATGTGCTAAGTCACTTGAAGAGGATTTTTTTTTTCTTATATATAATATATCAATTAAAAATGTTTATTTAAAAATAAAAAAATGTATAAACTATAAAAATTTTAAATTATATTTTAAAAAATATTTTATTTTTGTTGAAATAATTTTTAATTTATATCAATTTTAGATAAATATTTTATATATATTGACATATTCCCTTTATATCAAAAACTTTAATATTTATATTCAATGAAGTGTTGAAAAAGAAGAATAGAAAGAGGACAATATCATCTTCTATCATGTATGATGTTTGAATGATAGTTGTGACTTTTTTATTAAATCAACAAAATATATAACAAGTTGAATGATTTGATTCATATAAGTTATGATGATTTTGTCATGACAATTCAATTCAATACATATCTAATAATTAAAGAGGTTTCTTATACATAAGGGAAATAATTAAATAAATTTATTCTTTTACATGCCCTCTCAAGAGGAAACTTTACTTAGAAAGTCTAATTTTGATATTTAATATTCAAAATTTGATATTCCTATTAAGAGTATGTAGAATTGATTTAGTGAGCATATCATATTTTACTAAGTTGAAATTTAGGATTTTTTTGGATACTTTTTCGATTCTTTGCTTATTAGATTAAGGTTTAAAATTACGTAATCGGGTATTGAGGCATTTTTCTTTTGTAAGGCGAGGCGTAAGCCTCAAGGCGTTTTGAGGCATAAGCCTCAAAATTAAAAAATTGCGTAAATTGAAAATAAATGTTAAAAGTGAATTTTTACATAATACTCAAATAATATGTTAAATAATAACATATTAACTTTCTTTTGACTATGAAGTAACAAATTGACATGCATATGAAACATAAATTACACGAGACGTAAAGTGAAAAGTGATAGATTATGTGAAACAGAATTGAAATCTAAATATTACAAGAACAAAACAACATAAAATATTATAATAACGTAAAAGTATCATATAGCATTAAGTTCAATTCCAAATTCATTTTTTCTTAGTTCTCTACTCATCTACATTCAATTCATAAAAAAAGCTAACATAATTGGCAACAACTCAGAAATCATCTGCAATGTCATTAATGAGGAGTCTTTATTTAAGTCATTGTCATAACAATTTGATCTCTCCCCTGTCTCATCCTATGGTGTTCAATGCCTCTTAATTTGTTTCTTCTTCATTTATTTCAATTATCTTTTTCTTTTATAAATGTTTGTCTTCAACATAAAGATGTGAATAATACTCCAAAATTTTTATAGGTGGTAGTGGGTGGTGGCTATGATCATGGTGACTACGGCAAAGGAGGTGGGCAATAGGTTGAGGCTATTGAGAGGAAGTTGCGGCTTGAGGGTGCATGAAGAAGTGATTTGTTAGGGGCTTTAGTTTATGATTTTTGTAAGTTTTAATAAAAAAAATATATTAATCGGTTGAGGCGTACGCCTCACTCTAGTAAGGCGAGGCGCGCCTTAAGGCGGGCCTGAATCAAGCTGAGGCGTGAGCCTCATAAAAAAGCTTGAGGCGTAAGCCTCAAGGTATTTTTCATTGGAATTGCGCTAAGGCGGACCTCAAGGCGAGCCTCATATTGCACAATTTTAAACAATGTATCAGATAACAATCATTATTTCATTAAGCTACTGTATTCTCGTTGCTTTTAAGAAATTAATGTAGTAGGAATTTTTTTTTACAACAACTTTTAAAGAAATTACTTTCATCATAATAATTATACAATCATCTTCATAAAAAGCTGTAGTCATTTCAAACAAACCGTCAAACCATATTATCTCATTTTGAACTTGATGTAATCAACATTCACATGTTTTATATGTAAATAAAGGATGGGATTTCCATAACTACAAATGTGATCTATATTATCATAATGGATTTCTAGATATTGGTAAACGTGATTAACAAGTTCCTTCTCATTTTCTTCCTTTTTTGGCTACTCATTATCCTTGTTATCCACAAGGATATATAGGACCAAAAGATAGAATGACAATAGTTTGAGGGGATTCTATTTTTTAGATCAAGATGTTAAATTCGAGCATTCAATCAACAAGTTTGATAAATTTATCAAATTTGAAAGCAAGTTGAATCTCACATGAGTCTACTTTAGATCTCGACCCTTAATGATAATCTAGGAAGCTGCTTTCTACAACATCCTTTAAAAGTTACTTTCTTTACAGTTGTTTTACAAAGCAGTAAGAAAGTTGTCTCAAACAAAGCCTAAAATCAAATTGAGTGATTCTAAATGAAATGAAGGCGATAAATTTAGTTTGATTAGTTGATTTGACTTGAATATAAATCCCCTCAACAAATAAAAGGTCATAACATACATTGAGTAGCTTGCATTAACCAACCAATTAGATTGCTTTGTTAAGTCTTATAAGTTCTGATATGACATAGATTAAAATCATATAAAAATAGTCATTAGTTGCATTTGGCAATTGAAGAATAAATTTAGAACTATTTTAGGCTTCACAAATAATAACTAAATATGAAGATAGCTTAAGGTGGATTTCCTATCATAAAGCATTATAACTTAAGCAAATCTGCTGATGAGGACATAGACTCTTTACCTAACAAATCCAAGATGCAAGTCTCTGTTTTATTAATTGC